GGGCGGGGGGAGCTCGCGCCATCCCAGAGGCCGGCCCCGCTCCTCCGCCAATGGCACCGGCGGCTCCGGCGGGCTGACGTCAAGCCGGCGAGTGCTGCAACCATGGACAGCGCCCAAAAGTGAGGACAAAGTGAGAGGATGCAGACAACTCTGCAGCAAGGATGCACTGAAGGCACGGCTCCCTCCCTCTCCCCCTCGCCAGCGCCTGCCTGGCACTGCAGAGGGGCTTGAGTGGCTGGGGAGCGAGTGGGGGAGCAAGGAGATGCGCTCAGCTGGTAGTCGGAGGCTTCTGCGCAGGAGGGCAGCAAAAATGGCCCAGGGGCTGCAGGCAGTGACTTCTGAGGGGACTGGGCTTATTTAGTCTAGAGCAGCCGTTCCCAATCTGTGGTACGGGTGCCACCAGCCGTACACGGACAACCTGTCAGGGGTAGGCAGCGGTCCCTCTAAGCCACATGGGCATGCTCATGCTGCGCTGCCAGGCGCACCTGCGCGGCCGTGCGGCTTAGAGGGACCGCTGGTGGCAGGCGTCAACAGATGTATTATCATTACTTGAGATGACAAAAATCAGCTGGCGGTCCTTGAGGTTGAACTGAAAAATGTACTGGTGGTACTTAGGCAGACAAGGGTCTTTGGGTGAATCTGATATCTTTTATTAGACCAACTGAAATAGTTGGGGGAATGTTTCTGACAGATTGCGCACCACCAGTTTAAAACAATACAATGTCAAGTACCACCAGGGATGTAAGTTGTGGCTGTGTTGATCTAAGGACGTAGGCAGACAAGGTTCTTTGGGTAAACCTGATATCTTTTCTTAAACCAACTGAAATAGTTGGAAACATGCATTTAATAAACATGGAAACATGTTTCCAGTTGGTCTAATAAAAGATATCAGATTCAACAGAAGAACCTTGTCTGCCTATGTCCCTAGACCATCACGGCTACAACCTACACCCCTGGTGGTACTTAACATTGTAGTGTTTTAAATTGGTGGTGCACAATCTGTCAGAGTTTGGGAACTACTGGTCTAGAGGAGAGGAGACCGAGAAGGATTAAAGTGTTGGGATTCAGAGGTGGTAAGCATTACCAGATCCTGTTGCCATGGTTTAGAAGCTCTGGAGCAAAACTGTAGCACTTAATTCTCCAAAATGCCAGTCCTGTACTTCAAACACAAGATCATCTTTTGTAATATTAATTGCCTCGGCCATTTCTTTCAGTCCAACACATCTATGAAGCAGGTTGCCAATCCTGCACCCATTTTAGAGGGAAGGAAAGCAACATGCAAAAGAGCGGAAGGCCCAACATTCACTGAAATCAATGGAAACTTCTTACTCGCCGTCACACCAAAAGTGAATTGCAAAGCTAATTTGTGGCTGCTCTGATCACTGGTATCCCTTGGCTTATTTCCCTTATTAACTAAAGTAACCAAACTGAACAGCACAGTTGTTATTCCTATCAAACTGTGCTTCAAACAGGAGTTACTGCCTGGTAATTATTAATAAAGTTTATGCTAAGAGGTCTGGGAATTTTTTCTCTCTTGTATTATTTTACAGTTCATTGAAGATATTACAGTAAAATCCAACACCATTTGTTTCCTTATTAACATGAACCTTTCTGTGGATGCTAATTCACTCCCAGTTGGTTTAATAGTTCTTTCTTTTTGCAGATCACATTATTGAGCTGCCTGTCATGATGCGTTCCTGTTCTAAAGTGTTCTTTGAACCAGAAAAACTGAACTGCAGCACAATGATTCAAAACTAAAGATAAATCAAGGCTCAAATAGGTTTAAGGTGTAGTCTAAATGGCAGGAAACTTAAACACACAAATTGGAAGGGACAGAATGTTCATAAAAAGTCTATGTTAAGCTACAAGTCTTACAACAAACTAGATACTTTTACATGTATTACAGCACATTTCCCACTTGAAACCCTTTATTTTAATGATGTGGTATTTGATTCTGGATTTTTATTTGCTACATAGAAAGCATCTTAAAGGATTACAAGCTTGTAATATGTAATCTCCCATTTATGGGTTTATCTTAGATTTCATTTATGGGTTTATTTTACATTTGGGGTGCATTTAATTATAGCAAAGAGACTGATGCATTATTTGACATAGAGAATTGAGGTGTATTTAAAACTTTGGCCCAACATGTAATTAATACAGTCTTGTGATTATTGAAGTTGAAAGCCAATAAAAATATGTAAGATTAGTAGGAAAATCAAAGTTTGGAGAATCAATGTGAAAACTGCTAACCTCTGGCAAATATTTTTTTTAAACTGAGATAGAGTGTACAGAGTTTGGCAGACATTTAGCACCTGGCTGAAGATTTATCAGAGAATAAAAACTGGATTCTTAAAACTTCATTCTTATTCCTTATATTTATAAACATACTTGTTTCTTTGTACTTGCAGATGAAACATTTTTGCAGCTGACAACTTGTTTGAATACTCAGTTAAAAGATCTGTGAATAGAAGGATTCATAGACCTAAATAGGTGAAAACACATTTTTACACCCTATTATCTTTGGCTGCCCTTTGATTTCCTACTAAATCCAAAAAGCTACAGCATTCTTCATATGCTTCCTACTTGCAAACAGAGATGGTTTTGATATACTATGCATTGTTTTATTCCAGGTTAGAGGTGTGTTTCTTGATTCCTGTCTTGTTGGTAAACAACTGCAGAGAACCAACCATTGAAAAGAGAGAGAAATGAAAGGCAAAAGAAACTGTAAAACTATATTCTGAAAATGTAAACCCACTGAAGCTTCATTTTAAACTATGTATTTATGCAAATAATTTAATACATTATTCATCAACCATTGTAAACAGAATACTGAAGTATCATCTGCTAAGTATCTGATGGAGAATTAGGCCTGATTCTTCTGTTGGTTACACCAGTGAAGCACCTCTGTAAGATACAAAGTTACTCTCACTTTTGATGAAGTAGGAGGAAAACCAGACCCCAACTTTTTTTTAGTTATTCCTTCATCTTTCTGATATATCTAAACAAAGTAAATTAACAACCCTTCCAGAGGCCCAACCTAAGGGATTCTTCCATAGATGTGTATTAATGGGAATTATGTACATGAGTCAAATTGAAAATCAGCCCCTGTATTTCCTTCATTTATTTAAATCATTATAAAACAGTCTCTTTTGTATTGCAGAGTTTCCAGTAAAAGCTAAGCACATTTGCTCACAAAATACGCTGCAATCCAGAGAGAGAGAGACAAGGGTCAATGGGTAATATTTGTATGTTTTTATGCTTCTGAATATGCAAGTATAAATAATGGCTTTCTTCCAAGAGAAAGCAGAAGTCAGAAGGGCATGCCTCTTACCCATATGTCTTAGGAGAAGTCCTGTTTTAATGTTCACTGTTACTAAAACAATGAAAGAATTTACAATGACTTTGCAATAACATTTACTGTGTCCAAGAGAATTAAAGCTCTGGTGATTATATAGAAACAAAGTGCCTAGACATTACGATCTTATAAAAAAACTCTACATCATCACTGTAATTTTCCAGTGGAAAGTGAATTATAATATATATAAAGTAATTCTTAGCTTTATATTCCCACAGATACTACAGGAGTGAAGAGTGTGAACATTTCATCAAGTTTTTTGCTAATTTCCGTTGTTTCCATGATTTACAACCTCCAGATTTACTATATATTCTTTAATGAGCACAAATACAAGCCCTTAATTCTGAAATCTTCCTACCTTGAGAAAGTTCAGGTCTGGGATCTGGGGCCCAACTTTTAGTTACAGTAAGTAACAGTGGGTTGAGAGACTGGCAGCATTTTCGTAAAAGGCAGAGTAGATTTGTACCTGACAGACTAACTAAATCAGAGATATATAACACAAGCTTTCATAAGCAGCAGGTTTACTTTATGAGATGGCTGACATAAGACTAACATGACTAACTATCTTCCTCTGCTTATGGATAGCATGTATGTGGGCAATTGTATTTTAAGTATAGGCCATCTCAAGTAAATATTTGAGT